TTTGCTTACAATTGTATGTATGATGACAGATGTTACATAAAAGTTGGTAAACAACATTTAGATTGTAAACACGCTTTTATAAGACAGTTGGCTTTATTACACTGCAGATTAGTATAGTGAGATTTTGAAAGTTGGAGCTATTGATTATGTAATTTTAACCGGCAATTCAGATTTCTCGATGGTTTTATTTTCTTGGAGATAATTTCGTCAAATAGAGGTGTAAAAATAATTTTTATGTATGCTTTAAAATGTTTCTTTCGTCTTGGTTATGCTTTACATGTTGGAAGTGTGATGTTATTTTTTTTTCATTATAATTCTTGAAAATTTAGTCATTGTGAAAAGGTGGATATTCGTCGAGTTATTTTAGTTCAGTATGCAGTTTATTCACTGTAATTGCGGTATATTTGTTTGTTTGTAGTTAAGCACAAAGCTACTCAATGGACTATCTGTGCTCTTCCCACCAAGGGTATCGAAACCCGGTTTCTAGCGGTATAAGTCAACAGACGTACCGCTGTGCTACTGGAAGGTGACAACTGTGGTCGATTCTTTTTCGAATAATTGCATCTTTTTGATGATGTGAATTCACATTCAGAAAACTAGTTTTTTTGTTATTGGTTTACAAAAAAAAATTATATTGTATATTATTGGTATTATCAGTCGTAAATGTAACATCAGAAAGATTTGTACTTCTGTTTTCATTTGAATGATTAAGGGTGAATTATATGTTGGTGTCTATGGAATTGAGAAAGTCTAAAAGTTTGATTTTAAACCAGAGATTATGGCCGGTGCTGGTACCTTGACGGCATTTGTCAACTTGTGAAACAGTGTTAACTGACTGCAAAGAAATACACAGTGGGAGATTTGTGTGTGTGCCGTGGGGGTTCTAAATATCATTACTGCCACTGCATATTTTTCAAATGATCAAATATACATATACATTTTGGTCCAAGAGCAAAATCCCAATCAACATTAGCGAAACATGGAGACACCGTATTAAAGAATACTGGGATAACACGTTGGCATAGTTAAAAACCACCTTTAGAAGATACTGAAGATTCTTTGTGACCCTCAAATTGCATTTCAAGTTTTATATTGACCCTAAGCGTCCATAACAATGTCATACCTGGAACTACCACTAATTCCACCATTTCATAATAACTTTGTTTTTTTATTAAAGTAAATTAACATTTTTGTTTTCTAAATTTCATTGCAATTAATCACATCCGTATTGACCAAAGGTATCAGTCGTAAACATGTGCTAATCCTTTATTGTAGCCTTTATTCTGAGGCTTTGGACAAGTATAATTTTATTTAAATAGTTATGTCTCTTATCTTTCTGTATTTCACCTCTTTCTTGTTTTGTTCTTAACCACAACCAGATAATAATTTGATAATACTTCAGACAATATGAATAAAGGTTTTGTTTGTTTATTTGCGTTCAGTTGTTTTCATTTGCTGTCCAAATTCAATTTAGTTTTTGCTTGACAATTCTGAGCCTAATTTTGCAGAAACTTTTCACTCTTCTGTCGAAAATTGCTGTAACTCGATAAAACACCCAAATAGGTTGGTTTGTTACACGATCCAATATGTGGATCCACATTGATCCAACATCACAGGTAAGGCCCATAAGATTGGGTTCAACATCACCAATTTAAGAGAGGATGTAGTGCTCTTCATGTATGAGTCCAGGTTTTGACTTGACTTCAGACCACCATGCCAAAGTGTGGAGTCAATACCAATGTAACTGAACATGGCTACTATGGTGATGAGTCTATCGTGATCGGGGACAACAACAACAACTTGAATGTCAAGAATGACCTCTATGAATTCTGGTATGGTTCTTTAACAACTTTAAGGTACAGAAATTAGATCCTGGCCATTTATACGAACCATACACCAGTGTCGCTGTGACAGCTTCGTCCTTGAGAATGACAATGCCCACCATATCATACTCAATTTGTGGAAGAAGTCCTTCAGATGGAGACTACTGTCCACTTAATCTCCATCCATGAACCAATAAAGCGTGTCTAGAACTCCCTCCAGTATGTTGTTTCAGTTTTCTCTCTTCAGCAAACAACTCTTCACAAGTTGGGAGATGCCTTTATGGGAAAATGTACCACATTTTACATATCAATATCTAGAGGCTCACCAGGAATATGTAGATACTATACTAAGTAGTGTTCACTACTAACAGTGAACACACAAGCAACTAGTTTTGTTTCGTTATTTGTTGCTTTCTGATCAATTAATAAAACTTAAAGTGTTCCATTTTGAGGAAGGGGGTGTCTTCTTACACGTGTGTACACTGTGGGGAAAAGTTTAGTACAGTTATGTTTGAAAAGAAAAAATTTAAATACAACTATCTTTAGACTATTTATTATATACTATACATTTTGAAAACTGATCCAAGGTTTAACCATTTCTTTAGTATGCTTAACATATTTTTTTGGGGATATTGAAGCTTTAATATATATACATATATACTTTTTAATATGAGTTCATTATTTGAGCAAAAATAGTTTTAACCACTTGGTTAAAAGGTTGATACAAGTTTTAAAAAATGAATAAAGAAATTTTGTTTCAGATATTTGCACGTTACAGAGGGCCAAAAGGAGTTGACAGGATATCGAAAAGGCAGCTAGTCAATAGAACCCACTGCCAATTCTTGAGTTATTCTAATTGAATGGTAGAACTGTCACTCTTATTATAACATACCCACAGTCCCAAAGTGAAAAACGCCGTTTTGAAGCAACAAGACAAGAACTATGAACCTTTGAATTCACAGTCTGGCATGATAACTGCTAGGCAATGTCTGGCTCCTTCAGAAACTTTTATAGTGAATTGACAACAGCAGTGACTGTTACAATATTGATTTACAATTTACAAGTGTTAGTTTGAAGGGAACATTACAAATATTGGAAGATGAATAGATTTAGCTAAAAGAAATGTAATCTCAAAATAAAAGCTGTATATTTAAAAAGCTATCAGTTTATGTCTTCTGAAATGAAGCATTTAGCAAGCAACTAACATCATAAAACATCTCAGTCCCCGAAGTTGAGGCACTTCCATCCATAATTTAGGATTACTCACCAAAAAGAGGGTAACCAGTTGGCAGAGACCCCATAGCATATATAGATAGATTGTTGCTCTTATAATGTGCCCATAGCGCAAAGTGATGTACAGCTATGCTCAAAATGTGGGCCTTCCATAATAATCAGACTGATCTTAGAAATGCAAACAACTAGCAATTGAAGTATCTGTTTTTCCAATGCTTAACTATTTTTTTATGAAATTTAAAACTGAAATTGTACTGTTTGATGAATCCATTGGAAACACTGACACAGTCAATTTGTTCCAAAAATTATATACAACGTGCTGAGAGTCAGATGAGATTAAAAGACAAAAATACGACTAAAATATACACAGATTATAACTTATACTGGATTTGTATGTACTTTGTGATATAAATTAAAATTTTTTTATTGATCTTACATTCCTTGTTCATGGTTTACATTTATGGAAATGCTTATAATTTCTGTCTAACTTATTGGGTAACAAACAGCACTATTTGGTCTCACTCGTGTGATAAATCAGTTGGTTTAAATCATCTTTATTAAGTTATAAATTTCACAGCATACTTTCCTGTGTGTTGCATCAGATCTGAAATTGTTCATATTGGGAAAATATTGTATTGCTACCAGTTTCCCCAGCATGTGAGACAATAGGCACCAATGGGTGAAAATTATAAATCATAGTTTAAGTAATCTGTATTAAATATATCGATCACTGCCCACTTTTTTTATCTGCAGTGTCAGATCTGAAGTTGTTCTTAATGGGAAATATTATACTGTATTGCTGCCAGCTCACTTAAATACTTAAGTACATTAGAATAACATCTTCAACTAGCAAATCTGAGTTATTATTCAGTTTTCTATTTTCCTGTACAAAACGATAGCTTTCTCTCATCAAAACAACTGGATATGGTAGATGATTCTCACCCAAAGATATATTAGCTCATAGGTTCATTTTCCAGTTTATTGTTTGTTATAAGCTTCATCATTTGAATATTACTTAAAATTTAATAATTTTTCTTAAATATTACAACAAAACATATTTTATCTTTTTAAGGCTAGCCTTGGTACTTAAGAACATCATTAGGTTAAAACACAAAAAGCATTATGTAGGTAATACTCCTAACGATTTTTTGCCTATAAAACAAGGTTACACAATATAAAAATAATAATGATGACTGTGGGGGGTCCTTGAATACACAGTTCCTGATCTTGAAAAACAAACAAGTCTATCTTAGCTTCAAATTTTATTTTTGTTTTGCAGCAGCATTCAACCACTAAAGCATGTTAAACTTTTAACAACAAGAATTTTTTCTAAACATATTTCTACATGGTTATTTCCCAGTTTCTTCATTATGTCATAAAGTGCTTTCAAAGACACAAGTTAAAACTACTCTGTATATTAATAACCACAAACATTTTAAATATTTCACTTCTTGTTTTTTCATTTATGATAGCAATAGGGAATAAAATAAAGTAAAACATTTTACCAAAATCCATTTTTATCTTCTTGATCAATGTGGGTAAATGTCTGCTGCCATTCAAACACAAAACTCAGTAGAATTTTATATTGTTCTAATGTTGTTTTCAGAAACAAAAAAAAAAACATCCTCACACATACACAAAAAAGGCATTTCCTCTTACCTTCCACAAGCAATATAATGAAGTAGAAAATTTTAAACACAAACTTTCATACTTGGTAAGCCTACCCCAACTTGAGAAAAAGGATTCAATTATACAGATATTAATGGTAATAAAAGCAATAACATTATTACAAAAACCAGATTTTTGTGATGAGTAATGTATATAATTGATGAAGAAACATTTTTTTAAAGAAACAAATGGATTGGACCAATTATTACTATAATTTAAATTTTTGACTTAAATGAGATGTTGGATAAATACACAAAAATGTAAATTAACACAAGATAAGTACTAAGTTGTTGGAGAAGAACAGTTTTTATTTTACTTATCTAATTACCATAGTGTCAAACATGTATACAGTGGTGGTAATAATATTATACACACAACTACTGGTGTACACAGAACAGAAACACTCCACCCGTTAACATATGTGAAAGCAGAAAACCAGTAGCCATATGAACCCTTTTTTTTTCTCTGTTCATAATCAATCCTTCAACAAAGTTCCACTCTGAACCATCAAATGACAAGTACAAATAATTATGGAATGGTAGAAACAGTGGAAATAAAATAAAATGGAGAAGCAAGATACATTACATAACCTAAATGATAATTGAGACAAGTCCCAGCTCCACTGGCGTCCCGAGCAACTGTTGTTATTTGATTTCATTTTACTAGATAAATAGTCCCCACTGCCAGTAGGGCTACATGGAGCAAAAGACTGATGTTGTCTGATGGATGTATCAACTCCAGTAGAGTGAAGGTTCCAAGTCCTGTGTCTCACCAGTCCACAACTGTACAGTTGCTCACCTCTCTCAGCTGTTCTTGAGAACCCTCCGGATGAAAGTCGTGGCACCAGGAGAGACATCCGGACACTTAAGACTGCGCTGATGTGTTGTTGGCCAAAGCTACAATTGGTGGTGAAAGAGGTGATCCCTGAACTCCAACAATTGAGCCACAGTTAATACCACTAGCTGCTGAAAAAGAGCAATTTAAAAAAAACCCTTAAAACACACATTTTATGCATATTATCAGTTATAATGACTTGCTCAATTATTTGACAGACTACCCAATTTTCTATTTAACAATACAATGGATTTCATTTTTTAACTTTCTTGAGCAAACTATATTATTTTAGTCTTCTAGGCAAAACTTTGTAAATTCAGTTGATAGAAACCATGGTTACTGTACATTATAACCATATTTCTGTACATTGTAACCATATTTCTCTTGTCAAGTTGGAACAAGTGTGTAGAATTCACATTTATTTACTTTGTAACCATATTTCTCTCACCAACTGGGAATAATTATGTATCAATCAGGGTTTCTGTACCATACAGAGGTTCATACTGTATTTATAAATCACAGTTTCTGTACTACACAGAAGTTCAGTACTTTATGTATAAATCACAGTTTCTGTATTATACAGAGGTTCATACTCTGCCTACCACAGCTGGTGTACAACTTACTACACGCCTCTTTCTGGATTGTCCTGGAGCCCCACGATGATACATATTTCTTTGTTTCCAATGCCTTTAAATGAATGAGATCAATAAAATGAACCAATCCTGTACTTGAGAAAGAATGTTGACTACAATTCTAAATTAATACTATGTTAGGTGGCACTCTATAAAAGGTCATGGCATGTGTATTTTAACCCCCACCCATGGACAAAAGGTTAGGTAAGACACTATCCCCTTTCTAAATTTCCAGTTTTATGATCTGGCTGTATAAATATAGAAAGGACTCTTACATACCTTTCCCAAAAAGTGCTAAATTTTCAGTGGCACTGCAATATTTATGTAATGACAATGTCAAAATGTAGTTCTGATACATTCCATACATATATATTGGCTCTGGTTGTCATGTGATATAACTTTCATATTCAAAATCATTTTAATATATCATACTTAATTCTGTATAACCCTTCATCAACTTTGAATAAATACGTAGAAATCAAAGTTATGTACTTTCGTGTTTTAAATAAATTAATTGAACTTGTGATTTTCTTCAGAAATACAGTTCCATGAATTTCTTATTTTGATTTTTGTTATTTGTGATTTTATTTCTACTTAACAGTAGTGCAATACAGAGTCAATTACGAATAAATGTCACTTACATTTTTACTTCTAACAGAACCTTAATAATTAACAAGGATGCATCACTTACTATTAATGAACTCTGTTTATATACTGTAAAAAGTTCAAAATAATCATTTATCTTAAGTACTGCTTATGTCAAACTTTCATTGGATAAAACAAACAAAATCCTGTTCTATTGAAAAACATACTTCTCTTATATTTGATTTACTTTTATTATGTCTAGTAAGCTACAAACTTAATCCTCTCACAAAAACAGCTTTGACACAAAAAGCAAGGTGGTACATATATATGTACTTACATGGATTTGAGGCTGTTACAGGAGGAGGAGAGTTAGTAAGCCTTGAATCCATGTACCTCACCTGCTGTTCTTTGACTATTGGGTCTGTAACAAAAAAAAATCCACACTACTGATATGAAGACGAGATATTATAGAGTTTAGTCAGACAATTTACAAAGGTTGTTTCTCTAAAGTTGTTCTGTAAATACATTAGTTTCTCTCCTTTTTACCTTCACTCTGTACATTTTCATAATACAGTAGTCTGTCTCATCTTTACCTTCACTCTGTACATTCTCATAATACACTAGTCTGTCTCATCTTTACCTTCACTCTGTACATTTTAATAATACACTAGTCTGTCTCATCTTTACCTTCACTCTGTACATTTTAATAATACACTAGTCTGTTTCTTTATATTTGCTTACTTTCTCAGCTTGCATTAGACTGTTTCTGTAGACTTATTCTATACAGATTCAGAGGAAATGCAGGTGAAATATATTGTAGTTGTAACTTTTGATTTTATTGTTGTTTACAAGACAAACTTCGAACAGATAAAAAGAATAAAGTAAGCTTAAAGGGAAATATTTATTGTAAATTAATTATTATTAATTCAACGATAAAAATGTTTTCCAAGTTTTCTCAGCATCACGGACAACATAATGATGTCTGATGTTTGAATATTATCACACTTTTTAGTCTACTCAAGAAACTAAAAGACAGACATCATAGAATAAACAAAAGAAATTGCCACATTTTAAACATCAGTGTATAAAAAAAACTAGCAACCAGAGAATAACTAATAGAACTTCAGACAGTACATATACAGTATATAGAACAAGATTAGAAAATACCAAAATGTACAGAACAGATGTAAAGAGAGAGATTAACACACTCATCATTTACAATGTAACCCAAAACACATTATACATGGAATAATTTATTAAGTATATAAAAGGGAAAACTGCTAGATTTTTTAAAATTAAGTTCTATAAGACTGTATCAACAACTTTTCTCTTTGCTTTCGGTTAAAGAAGCAAATTTTCTGCTTAATGTACTCAAGTGTTGAAAAGCTTGTTAAAGGCAGGTATATGTTTACACAAACATAATTCAAGACCTAATTTGTTAATGTTAGCATGATGATATGGCTTTTTAGGATTTTGATATTTTCTAATGTTGTAATTTATGTATGGCAACCTTTGTAATATTCATAGCAATAAAAAATCTCTTTATAACATTTTATTTTACATTCATATCTTTAACTTATAAGATATGTCATTAATTAACAACATAACTTGGATTATAATATTATAGAACATTAGTCTGACTCTCAAGTAATCTATATATCTAATAAATGTTAAGTTATGAAGGTATCCTCCAAACACATAATCTGATATTAACTATTCACCTAAACCAATATCAACCTGATGCACAAATAATTTATATATCTAATAGAACATTAGCCTGAATAGTATTTTAAAAAATGGCTATAATTAAAATACTATATTGTGTTATATAGTAATTTTAAAAACTATATGTATTTTCATCTGTAATATAAATATGTTATTATTTATGAATGAATGCAATATGTCTCTACTACGAAATCCCAACATGACCAATTTTGATGCTAGAAAAATTTAAAACTGTCTATATCACTGCTTGGGACCTGAAGAAGGTATCTTTTTGCTAAATTCCATTTAACCCTATCGGCACGGGTACCCTTTACTGCACATGACACAAGGTTTTAGTGTCTTACATTCAAATATTTATTAAAGTACTTTTTGTTTATGTTATACCAATTAGAATAGCATACAATCTTAGCTAATAATCCACATTTTAATAGTATACAAGTTTCAAGTTCTTAATTTCAAAAGGAAATATATATATAAAAAAATTATGAATTTCCACTAGTGTAACACACATTGTCTTAGCATGTCATCATCCCTATTTTATCCATCACCCCTCAAAAATGTAGGAATTTAAACGTAAAATTCTCTCTATAAAATCATTAATGTTCTAATAGACCATAATTTTTATGGCCTTAAATTTTGTTTTGTTATGGAGCTATCAAAGAGAAAATCAGACCCCTCCTGCCACACCCACCCGTCACATCCTCTCTTTCACAATTGGTTGATAGTTCTCTCTTACGTTTCATTATATATTACTTATAACCAATAGAAAGTCAAGGTTTTCATCTATCAAATGGCGTATTGTATAACATTGTGTTCTGAACAGATAACCGTCAACGTCACTCTGAGTAGCAACATCGTTCCCGTGGGAAAGTCAACGACTAGCTTGGATGAATTTCTAACGGCTCTTGTCGCATAGTTAGAAAGCCAGGAAAATTTGTAGAAGTAAGTGAATTTGTCAATTTTTTGGTGTATTATTTAATTAAATAAAAATTATTAAGTGCTTTACTATAATCACTAAAAAAATCAGGCTTAACACTCATCACAATCGAGGGCAAGAAAAAAGAAGATTGGGTAAGTACTTTATTTCTTGCTTTTTATATTTATTCTTTATTTATTATTATAAAAAGTAACTAAAATTAAAAGCATGGATCTTTTTAGGTTATTTAAGACTAGAATAGGTAAAATAAGTAATAATAATAATATAATTAAAATTGTTCAGGGCACGCACGCCAGCAGCTCATGGGTGATGTAATTCGATAGCCTAAGTTGAGCTGCACGTTCCCCCGAGTGATTTACAAGTTATAGTGGTACAGATAGCAGTTAGATATGGTTCAAATGGCAATAAAACAATAAAATTTAATTATAAATAGATGTATAATATTACGAACTTAGAGCTACTTAGTATAAACAAATGTAGTTTCATGTTACAATTTGAAGTCATACTAGAAAGAAAAGAAGGTTAGTTTAGGTTTATTTCGATTTTTTTGGGGTGGTTACAAGGTCAGTCGAATTGACCGATCCCGTTTTGAGATTACATATAAACTATAAGGATTTAGTGAAAAAAAAAAACGTTTGAAATGCATTTAGGAGGTTCTAGGGATTACACAAAGGAAATTTGAGATTTTTGAGATTGCGAAAAGTATTTTTAATTTGAACATGAAAATTACTTTGCACACGGACTATTCAAAACAAATACTCAATATATTCATGGACAAAACTTTATTTTATTTTATTAAAAGTATGTCACTAAGAAATATCACTTTTTGTATGTGAAAGACTTGTAATATTAGCTGAAAGACTGCCAAATTTCGTGAAGATATACCCAATATATGGAGAGTTATAAGTATTAAATTTATACCAACTTTAAACGAGTACAGAAGGTCATGTGACTCTTTCCCAGGGACAGACCTCATAAACATTTTGTGCTTGTTATAGTTTTCATGCTACAACTTTTGAATTAGTAAGTGAATGTTAAAGAAATTTGGTATATTATCAGTAAACATTACAATGCTTTCATATGCAAAATATCTAATTTTTTCATTAAGTCTTAAGGTTTGTAAAGCATCGTTTCTCTCATGCCTTTTTTTCTTTTCACAACTTGCCTGTCTATCGTACGAAGTAATTTTCATTTTAACATTAAAAATACTTTTATGCATCAGAAAATTTTGAATTTCACATGCAAAATCTTATAATGTCCAGATAGTTATCAAATGTTTCTTAAGAAAAAACTTTATATTTTATCTGTTATTTTCCATA